AAACATATGCATGCATATGAATGCACCTCAAGATCATCACATCACATTAATCACATAAAAACACATAACATTTACGTTCATAGTGTATGTGAGTTATACTTGATTCACTTAAGATCACTATTTATTGTAACCTTTCTTTAAAAATTGGTACCTTGACTTAATCAATACCTTGAACATACACACCATATAATATAAAAAAATAAATATTATTATTTTATCTCTAACAATTTATTTTTTTTATTAATTCCTATTGTTTTCTTGTAATTTTTTTAAATTAAAAATTCTAATTAAATCATCAACTCTAATCTAATTTGTTCAATTCTCCTTTAGTTATGTTCATATAATCTAATGTTAATAAATTTTAACTTAACCTTTTCAATTCTTATTTAAATACATTTAATCATCAAATATTCTCTAAAAATTTAAGATTTTAATACTAAAATATAACTTTTACATAACTAATCCTAAATCATGAAATTTCCAACTCAATTCTACCTAAAATCATGTAAAGATAAATAATTAAATTATTACCTTGAATATTTAATCACCATAACTTAAATCTTCTTCCAAATAGCTTTAAATTCACTTCTTACTCAATTATATTGTCTCTTTCTCTCTCTCTCTCTCTCTTTCGAAGTATAAACTTATGAAATGACTTTCCTAAATGAGGAGAATGACATCCTATAAATAGGCATGGGAAACCAAAATATTTAAAAATTTTAAGTGCATGAATTAAAAATAATAAAAGACCACTAACTTTCTTCTTTTATGGCCACTAAGTGGCTTTCTTTCATGAGCACTTTCTTTTCTTTCATTACTATTAACCTTCTTCTTTTATGGACATTTTCTTTTCTTTCACGGCCACTCATGTCTCATCTTTAATTTGATATATGTTTTAAGACTTTTGCTCTCCTTTCATAGCTACTAACATTTCATTTAAAAAGCTATTAAAACTTATTATTAGTTTAATATTATTTTATTAATTACTACTATAACTACTTTAATTCTTTAATTCCTAATAGCTTAGGCTAAGATTGTAGGACTAGTTTCTATCTATAAAAATACAATCTATAATACCCATATATATATATATATATATATATATATATATATATATATATATATATATATCTTAACACTCCATACCTAATCATCACATCCTCTAAACACATAAAAATATTAAATTAAATACATAAATAAAGCATATTTGTACACATATAGACATCATATATTATCCTGTAAAGTTTTTTGGTATTAGAAAATCTTTCCACTCTTTAATTTGTTTTGTTACTATCCTTCCTTATCATGCTCGTTGGTTTGTTAGCCGACGTCCCACATTACACTCCCGAATGTTTGACATTGTCGCTACCCGACGTCGGATGAGACTCTTGAAAAAATAATTCTAAGTGTTAATTATTATTTACGGAATTATTTACGGGTTTGGAGTTGCCACCTAGTATTAAAGAACTAGGAACCTAAAAGTACCATTGATTCATAGATTCTATAACAAGGAGTTGATTACACTTTTGGAAAGATATTTAATCACCCAAAAGTGCCCTTTTCGAAAGAAGATACTATGTATGGTTTAATTCTAAATTCGTCTCCTAAAATTTTTTATATATGTTGAATTATTTTTTGATTTTTTAATTCCTACTTTTTTTAAAGCCAAATTGAATTTTTTAGTTTTGGACACGGGATCGTATTGAAATGATTATCGATCCCCTTCGTCGAGTGACACATTGGTTCAAACATCAATCCATTTTAAGTCTCGATACAACCAAGTGTGTCGGAGGACATCCCGATTAAACGATAATTTTTTGTGACGTCGGTTCCTATCGGATAGGAGACTTCATAAAAAATTATTATTATTTTTTATCAAACAAATATCCCTATCGGATAGGAGACTTCGTTAAGAATTATATATATATATTTTATCTAATAACACAAAAAAAAATTAAAATATCAACTCTAAATTATTGCAATAAAATGCGACAAGAAATAAAAAATAATGAGACTAAAAAAAAATACAATTAAAATATTAAGGAAAATTATTTTGGATCTCCAACCTATTAACCCATGACTTATCCTCTCCTATCCATTCGCTTTTCCTCTTTTTTTTTCCTTCCATAGTTCTATTTCTTTTTATCCTTTTTTTTTAAAAAAAAAGAGGCTGGACTTGATTCCAACCTCTCTTTCTTATTCTCCTTTTTAATTATATATATATATATATATATATATATATATATATATATATATATATATATATATATATATATATTGGGAGAAAAGGTCGGACAAAGTCTAGCCTTTTCGTTTTTTCTTAGGGAGCCTTCTCATTTTTTTCTCTTTAGGGCAAAGGGCACGGGCTAGACCGAACTCGGTCTAGCTTTTTTTTTTTTTTTTTTAAAGCGAGGTAAAGGTTGGCACGGGTCCATCCCTTCGTTTTGTTTGTTTCTTTTTCTTTTCCCGAACCGGGCTTAAGCCCGTAAACACGCCCAACAAAACAAAACAAGTCAGATTTCGATCAAACACGAGCTCCCTAACCTATCTCTCTCATGTTCTTCATATTTTACATCTTTCTCTCCCTAACGCTTCAAATTTGCCGGGAAGTAAAAAAATTACCTTCAATCAAAAAGTTCAATTATACAAGCCAACAACTCAAATCATGAACGAAATAGCAAATAAAAAATTAAAAAAATAACGAACAAACAAAATCAAAATGGGAAGATCAAACCCCAAGCCGACTCGGAAACGATCAAAGAACTCCAACCCGTAAAACCCAAAGTGCCGATTTCTCACGATTTTGAATCCTTGCCCTTGATTCCTCTTTTACTAGACCCAAAAAAATGATATTCTCCCTCAAAATAGACTTAAACACCCTTTCATCGACCTAGGGAATCATGAACCAAACCCGGATAGCGAAGAACAAACCCAAAAAAAAACTCGTCTAGAAATGTAAAGAACAAAAATGGAAGAATTTAACCCCGACTTTCAAACAAGGAGGTCGAGAAAACTATGAAGATGGAAATTTAGCCCGAGAAAGACAAAACAAAGGACTGAAAGGGATTGACGGATTATGAACCAAAACCCGTAACCCCAAGAACATCAAGAACACAAACCCGAAATAACCCAAAAACACAACATTGCTAAAGATCAAAAATCAAAAGTTTTTGCCTTTGATTCTCACTCTTTCTCAAACCGGAATTCCTCTATTTTGTCCTCCCCTTTTGTCCGTGAATTGATACCCTTCTTATAGGCACGAATTTGCTTGATTTTCACCTATAATCAAACCATCAATCCCGAATTTTTCTATCAAATCTCAAATTTTAGATTCGATTAGTCGACCAACAAGGAAAGGGATCGGTGATCGCATGATTCTCTATTGATATCAATTTCATCCAAGAAACATGATAAATGCAAAAATCAAAACGAGAAATTGGTGGAAGATTTGGCTAGATCTTCCGAAAGATTTTTGGAGAGAATCAAGATTGGAGTTGACGACAGGTCATCCTCTACATTTCAATCCCGTCGTTCTCTCTAAAATTCTAATTTGGTCCCTATGAATTTCAATTGTTAGCAATCATGCCCTCCAATTGTATAATTTTAGTCTTTGTAAAGCATAATCTTATCAATTAGGTCCTTATAGTGTGTAATTTAGGTTCGAATTTCCTAATTGGTTCAATTATACCTCTAATCATCTCAATTACACCTTCCTTTCGAGTGCAATTGTGCCCCTAGATGATTTTGTTTTGATATTTTCTACCTATTTTCTCTCTCTCTCTCTCTCTCTCTTTGTATTTTTATTATTTTTCTCTTTTTTTTTGTATCTTTATATTTTTCTATTTTTTTGGTTTTTTGTAGTAAACCCCAATATGAAATAAAATAAAATAAGAAATAAATAAATAATATAAATAAAATAAAGTGAGGAAATTTTGGGTTATGACAGATAGATGTCATCCATGGTATTCCAATAGAAAGACTCAATCAAATTAATTATAAAAAATGAGGTTTCGGAAAAATAATTCAAAAAAGTACATGGATCAAATTATTATTAGTATTTTAATTTTCATGGTATTTGTTTTTCAAGAGCTTGTCTTGAATGCCATAAAACACATTATATGTAAGATCTCATCACAGTAAAACTATAAAGAATTTATGTATTTTTAAATTATTATATATCAATTTAAAAATAATAAAATATATACAAAACAAATCTAACATGTAATTAAAAAAAAACATCTTCTCTTGTGATTGTTGACGTGAAATCTGATATATTTTAATTAGAATCAATAGTAAAGCAATAAAATACATACAAAAACAAACCTAACATGCAATTTTTTTTTTTTTATAAAAAACTATAAATATGTTTTTCAAAATTAAAATAAAAACAAAATAATGCTAATTAGTATCTAATTATCCATTTCAAAGAAGAAAATATAGTGTAGTCCCTAGTTTTTTGTTTGTTTATTTTTTTAAGGGAGCAACTCCATTTTTCACGTTGAATTATCAAATATTTAGAATTTCTTATATTTTGTGGATGATTAGACCTATTAATTAGATATTTGTGACTAATCAATATTGTCTATCATCATATTATTTTTTTAATAATTGCATGTTAGATTTATTTTTTTCCCACACATTATTTTTTTTTATCATTTTTTTACCTATTATAAAAAAAAATTATTTAAGAAAAAAACACTTCTCCATTTTTATGTGATTGAGTTTCACATATAACACATTTCATGTATTCAAAATGAGGTTTTAAGAAAGCAATAACATGAAAAGTAAAAAAGAAAATAATAATAATAATCTGACAAGTTGAAGAAAATTTGAGGAAATTTTATCAATAATAACAAACATTTGGGTTGCAATTTGAATTTTTTAATAATAACAATCATTTGGGTTGCAATTTGAAGTCTGAACCCTGAAGCTTTAGCCCGCGTGTGAAGTTATACAATCATAGGCTTTAGCAACTGGATATGATATCTGTGTACTAGGATTTAGATTGAGCTGACGAATGATGAAGGGTCAGGAGGAACGGAGACTTGAACATCTCCTTCTAACATCTGTAAAACTTTCTTCATTCCAGGTCTTAAAGATGGATCCTCCTGAACGCACCAAATTGCTACCATCACAAAACTCTCCACCCTTTTCATGTCTTCCATGGCTTCTTCATCTTCTACTACTAAGAGGTCTAACTTTTCTTCTTTGAAGCAATCATATGCCCAGTCTGCAAGAACTATCTGATCTTCTTCCATTACATCAAGCTCAAATTTCTTTCTGCAACACACTAGCTCTAGCAACAGAATGCCAAAGCTGTAAATATCTACTTTGGTTGTAACTGGCAGTTTCTTGAACCATTCAGGAGCTACATACCCTTTGGTCCCCCTGATTGCTGTAATTGTTTTAGTTTGGTCTGTCTTCAACAGCTTGGCTAGTCCGAAATCAGAAATTCTTGCGTTAAGAGAATCGTCGAGAAGGATATTTTGAGGCTTGATATCACAATGGATTATCTGGGAGCTGCATTCTTCATGGAGGTAAAGGAGGCCTCTTGCTACACCACAGGCAATCTGGATTCTTCGGTACCAATTAGGCCTTGAATCTCTAAATAGGTAGTTTGATAAGGGGCCATTGCTCATGTATTCGTAGACCAAAAGTCGATGTTGCCCTTCATCACAAAATCCGAGAAGTTGGACCAAATTCTTGTGATTTGTTCTGCCAATAACTTTCACTTTTGTCTTGAATTCCTGCTCGCCTTCTCCGACCATCTTATCTAACTTCTTTACTGCAATGAGAGATGTACCTTCATTTTCCAGATCCCTTTGTAAACAGTTCCGAAAGCACCACTTCCCAGTTCTTCCTTGAATCCTCCAGTAGCTGTTTGGAGCTCATTGTAAGTAAAACTTACCGGATTCTCATCGGGCATGACGTTATGTGGATGGATCATTTTTGCTTTTTGTCGGTTCTTTCGAGAAAAGAACACATAGATTCCTAGCAATGAGATCACATTTAGAAAGACGGAGTTGCCTAAAAGTACTGAGCCTGTTATGATCAAAGTTGATCGATCATTCTTCTTTGCGCATGAACCTGCAGTGGAGTTGCCTTTCCTTACTTTTATCAGGGCTTTGGTTCCATAAGTGTCTGGATCTATCATCCCATTCGAGAGAGGGATTCTCTTCTTCCAACACTCTCCAGCACTATTGAAAATAACAACAGCACAAAAGCAATCACTCAAGCAAGCCTGTCTGCACCAATCCTCTTTCTCTGAACCAAAAAATTCATAATCATTGGATGGCCAATTTAAGTTAGGCATCACCTCGAACTCCAAGTCATCTGTTCCTTGCGATGGTTGGTCACAATCCTGTGAAACAAAGTTTGTCTTACATCCCTTCCTCACATCACTGGGATCCACGAAAGTGTAACCAGGAGGACATTCACAACTTGGTCTTTGATCTTCTCCTAATCTGCACACGCTGTTGTAACCACATGCTCCACTGCCTACTTGTCCTCGAATGGCCGTGCAGATATTTGATGGTACGAAAGACGAAGTAGTCCAGGCCATATCCCCGTTTCCGCTGCTTGAAGCAGCAGTCTTTGGGTAGACATAGTGCCTAAAAACTCCATCATAGTCAAGGGTTGCCCTCTGGTAGAAATCTTGCATCGAAACTTGTATAGAGAATACAGTATTAATCACAGAACCATTTCTTGCTATAGAACTTTGGGTACTCCAATAAGCAAAATTATTGACAGTAGATGGATAACGTGTGGTGTACAGGGAAAGGTTCCCATCAGGCTGTAGAGCAAACTTGTATCTTCCATCTGAATAATTCCTTTCTAGGTAGGGAGCAATTAGTTCATGACCTTGACTCAGAGTCTGTGTGGGCAGCATTGTATCTGTTGGTTCATCAAAACTCTGCCACAAATTGACAGCAGATTGGCTTGCTAGCACAAAGTTTCCAGTGTCCAGCATGGCTGCATAGGCAGCTCCAATTCCACCGGAATTAATGGTGCTCCATATTTGTGTGCCTGATTGGTCATCTAGGACCAACTGACCATCTGTGGTAAGTTGTACCCTTGATCCCCTCTGAACTAGATCCTTTCTATTCGCTGACCAGACTATGGTTCTTTCAGGTATTTTGTTGAACCATATGGCTAGTAAGAAGCCATCATCGCCAATTTGTTGGAATCCAAAAGCAAAATCCCCAGATGGTGAAGTCCAGAAAGGGTTATCACTTTCAGCAGTGAAAGATGAGCCCAAAGATATGTTTCTGTCAGTCTGACCATTGGTGGAAAATGGCAGCAGTAGAAGAAAAAGGAAGCAAAAACAATATGGCAAAATCTTTTCTCTATTTATGCCGAGTAGGCTGAGTATCGTAGCTGGCAGAAATGAATCTCCATCTATATATCCTCATATTACATGAAGAAGGCAAAGACTTTCCTTCTTTCTTTATGATTTTTCTGTGGAAATTAAGAACGCAAAGACTTACGCTTTCTTTATGATTATTCTGTGGGAAATTCCAACTAGAATCGAATCTTCTGCTGGCCTGATTAAACAAATCCCAAAATTATTGGAATTCTAACCTTTTGCAATGAAGAAACAAATTACAAGCCACAGACAACAGATATATACGGACGGCGGTCAAAAGTGGCTACTAATTAAAGAAAGCCATGAGCTGTACATGACAGCTTTACGTGATAGCTATGTGTCATAACCCAAGATTTTGGGTTACATTTTTATTTTTTTAATTTAATACAGATTTTATTTTTTATTATTAAAATTAAATTGAAAAAAAAAGGAAAAAATGAAAAATGATTAAAAGAAGAAAGAAAAAAATTGATCAATTTTGCTTCTAAAGATTTAATTGTGATTTATTTTAAAAGTATTATGGATCAATTTATGAATACATGAATGTAAGGAAACTATTGAAAGAAATTAAGAGGGGATCGAGAATAATTAAAAAAAGGGACTAAAATAATTATTCAAAAGGGCTTAATCGTAGAAAAATCAAAATTAAGGAGAGCCTAATTGGAAGGAAGGACCGGAAGACAGGACTAACTTGGCAATGTTACAACGGACGACCTGTCGTCTGCCAGTGGAATTAAATGATACATTCCACTGTTTCTCTTCTTTCCTTAGAAAGAATGAGGAACAGTGGCATGTGAGGGACTTTGTCACAGAACGTAACAATCCTCCCTCATCCCCATTTTTTTTGGACCTCCACTCTCCCCACGACCCCCACTATGTCAAACCCTTGTTATCACCCACGACCTCCACTCTGCATAATGATGAACAGATATAAAATCGAAGAAGAGATAGAGAGAAAAAAGAAAGGAAATAACAAAGAGTAAAAAAAGGACCGAGAAGAAATAGAGAGAGAGAAACAGGAGACACGAAAGAAAAGATAAAAAAAAAAAAAAGAGAGAGAGAGGAGGAGAAGAACAGAGAGTGAGAGAGCAGTAAAGAAAAAAAGTAAAACAGAGAGCACGAAAAAGAAAAAAGCAAAGCGAAAGGGGAGGTTGTTGAGGTCTTTGGGGATTTAGATTTCTTAAGGAGGGCTTTTCTGGTTGGCACGACTGGTTTGAGGAAGACTCACAGGGAAGGCAACTGTGAAAGAGAGAGGCTAGTGAAACGGTTTCAAAACCTCTGTTTCTGAAACTGGAAAACAATGGTCATCAGGGACAGTTCCTGTTGATCCTCAGGGGGCATTACTGCATCAAAGATAGGTGTTTTGTTTCAGTTGGAGCTATTAACAGAAGACGTTCATAAGTTTTCTCCCATTCAAACACAGTCCCTAGATGTACCGAGAGTATCAGAGGGAGACTAAGGAGGATCTTATATCAGCTTTCTTTCTGTGGTTCAGGTAAACCTAAGACACGTAATTTTATTCATGTTTATCGTTTTGAAGGCCACTGCATGAATCCTTGCTTGGCATTGGTTCCTGAGGGAAGAGCTTTGGCAATTACTATATTTAGTTCCAGTTTTCATTTGGTTATTGTTAGATGAATGTGTGATGCTCCTAGGAGTGGCCTTTGGTTTTGTAGAAGCATGGATACTTACACGGGACTGGAGAGCCAAAACTTACGTAGGGTGATCCTTAAATTGTGTTTAAAATTTTGTTCTTTTTTTAAAGTTCATTTATTATTTGTTCAAAATTTATTTAATTTTCTACCTAGTTGTTAATTGTTTTAATTGTCTAAAAACGTAATTTAGCTTGCCATTTAATTTTATCTAGCCCAAATTATATTGTAATTGTTTGCTTGTATATATGTTGTGTGTCAAGATCCATAATTTGGTGTGTTAATCTTATATTTATTTTTTTAAAAAAAGGCACTTTAATTAATCTCAATTTTATTTCATTGTATTTTATTATTTTTATTAGTTAGATAATTAAATGATAGTTGAATTATCGAGTCTCCTAATTTTTAAGGATCGATGACGATTCTTTATTGAAAAAAATATAAATGAAAAAGTGAAAAATAAAAAAATAGTTAATCCTTTTTATTAATATTTCATTTCAAAATTAGATTAATAGTAAATAGGTGAGTGAATTGTCGAGTCTCCTAAATTTTTAGGGACTAGTGATGATTTTCCTTGAAATGTTAATAATTAGATTAATAGTTAACAAGTGAGCGAATAGTCGAGTCTCTTAAATGCTTAGGGAATGATGACAGCTTTTCTTGAAATGTCAATAATTAGATTAATAGTTATTAGGTGATTGAATTAGCAAGTCTCTTAAATTCTTAAGGATCGATGACAGCTTTTCCCCGAAATGTTAAGAATTAGATCTATAGTTAATAGCTGGGTGAATTGTCGAGTTTTCTTAATTCTTAGGGATCGATGATGATTTTTCGCCAAATGAAAAGTCACTAACGTTTAAATCGACTCAAAAAATTAGAGTTTAAATAAAAAATAACTTGACACAAATAAAATATTTTAGGAGATGAATTTAGAACTAAATCGGACATGGTATCTTTCTTAGGAAAGGGCGTCTTTGAGTGATCTATATCTTCCCAAAGTGTAACCAACTCCTTGCCTTAGAATCTCCGAACTATTATCTATTTTAGGTTTTTAGCTCATTCAATACTAGGTGGCGACTCTAAACTTGTAAATAACTCGTAAATAGAAAAGCCTAATTTTTTTTTAGAGTCCCATCCGATGTCGAGTAACGACACTATGTGTGATGCCCCTCGGCTCCTTTACCTATTACCTAACAAGTGTTACCGGCGTGACACACTTGTTGGGACTAAGTCCCCTACTTCCTCCATCATACACAACGAAACTAAACCATAGGAAACGTATGATATAATATACAACATTATTACGGATAGTTCTATAATTTATAACATATTCAAAATGCCCAAAAATTTACGTCCTAGGCCCGTATCCCTTTTTAATGACACAAAAGATTTTCCTATTTTTATGAGTGACACATGAGCCTCTTTTAGCGAGAACCGATAGCATCCTCGATCGACTTAACTTTACCCTTGTCCGAACATCACACAAATACAATAACGGAATGAGCCAAAGGTTAGTAAGTAGAGTGATGCACATGATATGCAATGCTATTGTGTTTCTCATATTTTCATCCATTTTAATCCGGGTACCCTAGGTATATGTAAGTCCGTGCACCCAATCTCTCGGTGATCGTATTATCACCTACTCGGTCTATTACTTTCTCTTAGTGATCTCAATATCACCTACTGCTCGTAACGGAATTATCCCTTGTTGTAGCACATGGTTAGCGAAATTATCTCTCGCTTAACGATGTCGGTAAATAGAGCTCGCACTATGGATTCCTTGCTATTACCCAATCCACTCAATTCGGTTACCAAACCGTGTCAATTCAAGACTCAATGATTTTTCTTAATTTATTTCCACCCCTAATGCACATGATGCACATGATGACATGTTTAATCACATTCAACCAAACTCGGGTACTAGCCCTTCTTTCTCAAGTCATACTCACGGTCCAACCATCATGGTACTCATAGCGGGAACACAACCTCCGCTCATTAATATTGTCTATTAGTTTCATTAATAATTAAAGAAGGTCCAATTCTTTTTTTTTTTAATTTCCTCTATGAAAGAATAAATTTTATTTAAAATTTTAAAATCCTTTTTATTTCTATCTAAGTCCATTTTCGTTAGTCTAAGCCCATCTACTTTAAAATCAAGCCTTTTGATTTTAGTACAAGTCCATTGCCAAGTTTATTTTATTTAAGTCCAAGCCCATTAACATTAATCCAAGCCCAAGTTCGTTTGTTTTAATCTAAGTCCACTTTATTTTTAAATCCAAGCCCATTTATTTGAATCCAAGCCCAAGTCCATTTGTTTTAATCTAAGTCCACTTTATTTTTAAATCCAAGCCCATCTTATTTTAATTCAAGTCCAAGCCCATTAACATTAGTCCAAGCCTATTCATTTTAATCCAAGCCCAAGTTCATTTGTTTTAATCTAAGTCCACTTTATTTTTAAATCCAAGCCCATCTCATTTTAATTCAAGTCCAAGCCCATTAACATTAGTCCAAGCCTATTTATTTTAAACCAAGCCCAAGTTTATTTGTTTTAATCTAAGTCCATTTTATTTTTAAATCCAAGCCCATCTCATTTTAATTCAAGTCCAAGCCCATTAACATTAATCCAAACCCATTTATTTTAGGTTAAAAATTTTTCAGCAGTGGCACACCTAAACAACCTATACCAAACCAGTCATAACTCCTTAAATATATATCTAAACCTCACGAAATTTTAAGAGGCGATATTAGACATATAGATCAACAACTTTCATTCTTTAAGTTTCCTCCAAACATCAATCGAAAAGCCTTAAATAAATCACACAAGTTTCAGAACTAAATAATCTTTTCCAGTAGCTGGTCCATTCAACGATCCGTACCAAATCAGTCATAAATCCTTACATACAGATCTAAAAATCACGAAATTTTATATACATCTATTAGACACATAGATGAACAACTTTCCTGCTTTGAGTTCTGCCCAAAAACCACTCTATGATCCCGAAATAATTCACACAACTTTCGGAATGAAATATTTTTCCAGTAGATGATCCATTCGAACGATCCATATCAATTCAGTCATAACTCCACATATATATCTCTAAAAGTCACAAAAGTTTAAAGAGAAATAGTAGACACATATAGAAACAACTTTCATTCTTTGCATTTGTCCTAAACATCACTCTAAAATCCCGAAATAAATCACATCAAGTTCGGGTTTTTCCACCCCTAAAATCCAAAAATCTTCTCTTAAAGCACATTTCTCATCACACATGCTTAACCATCCATCATCAAACATCAAGTATTTAAAATCATCACAAATACCATAATCACATTTCATATGAATTAAACAACTCATAAAATAAACATGGAAAGCATAAACAAAGCAAGAAAAAAAAATGAAACCTACTTACATTGGATTAACTTTCCTAAAATCTCTTTGGCTTTCTTTTATTTTCCCTTTCTTTTTCCTTTCTTTTCCCCTTCTTTTTCTTCCCTTTTTTCTCTCTTTCTCCCCTCTCTTTCACTCTTTCTTTCTTGGCTTTAAGGAAGCTACGGGATGCACCAAAAAATGCATCCTTATCCCATTTTTTTACTTAAATATCTCACATAATCTCATCCATTTAATGTTCATTACAAGTGTCAAGAACTTGTGGTGAAATGCAAGGTAAATGTGGCTGAAATTAATGAAATGATGGGTTTAAATTTCAAGGAGGAAGAGGTGATGGTCAATAAAAATTTGTAGAAAGTAAGGGCCAAAATGTGATTAAATGAGAGTAATTAAATTAACTACATTTTCGAATTCCTCCTAAAATTTTGGCAATGAGCACTTTTTTTTTCTAATTTATACTTATTCCATATAAAAGAAATTTTCTAACTAATTTACCCAATTTTTTTTTTATATAATTTTTGACGTACACCCATTACTCTCAACAAATACGTACATACCACATATTCCAAGTACATATGTTGACACGGTTACAGATTTTCACGTACGTAACCGATATATATATATATATATATATATATATATATATATATATATATATATATATATATATATACGTACGAATATAAATATCTCGATACGTACACTAATACGATTACGAATTTTACAAGGGTTACACTATGCATGGGCTGGAACATGACGAGTTGTACATGATAGCTATGCATGGGCCGCAATTGAAATGCAAAGTCGATCAAGGATTATGGTCATCGAATTTGTGTAGCTATCAAAGGTATCCCAAATTAAAAGGTGAAGTTTTTGTATAAATAGGTCTTGTATGCTCTAGTATAAGCATGAAAAAATTAAGAGAAAAAAAGTAAAAAGTTAGAGGGAGCGACAGCTAGGGATCGGCGATAGCTAGGGAAAGAGAGAACTAGAATTAAAACAATCGAGAGAATAAATTTATAGGTGTGATATTTATCTTATAATCAATATATATATTTCAATAAAGTGTTGTTTGTTATATTTGTGAGCCTATTACGCCTCCAACAAGTGGTATTAGAACTAGATTCATATATGCATTTCAAGTAAGAAGATGGCCCAAACGATTCGACCTCAAATCTCGAAATTAATAAAGAGGAATTATGAAAAGCTGGAGCATCCAAATAAAGGTTCTGCTTGGTTCATAAGATCTATGGGAGATTATTCAAAAAGACAATTCAAAACCCAAAGATTCTATTGTCGAA